CTTGGCAGCGCGTTCTCCATGATTCCCTGCAGTTTCTCGAAGAGGAATCAAGAAAGCACTAACGAAATTGAAGAGAAGGGAATTCCCTGCAGTTTCTCGAAGAGGAATCAAGAAAGCACTAACGAAATTGAAGGAAAGGGAATTCCGTGCAGCTTCTCAAAGAGGAATCAAGAAAGCACTAACGAAATTGAAGGAAAGGGAATTCCGTGCAGCTTCTCAAAGAGGAATCAAGAAAGCACTAACGAAATTGAAGGAAAGGGAATTCCGTGCAGCTTCTCAAAGAGGAATCAAGAAAGCACTAACGAAATTGAAGGAAAGGGAATTCCGTGCAGCTTCTCACAGAGGAATCAAGAAAGCACTAACGAAATTGAAGGAAAGGGAATTCCGTGCAGCTTCTCACAGAGGAATCAAGAAAGCACTAACGAAATTGAAGGAAAGGGAATTCCGTGCAGCTTCTCACAGAGGAATCAAGAAAGCACTAACGAAATTGGAGAAAAGGGAATTGTGCCGGAGAGAAATTGAGGGAATTTTATTGATATGTGAGGTGAGTGTGTATATATAATGAAGAGAAAATTACCGTTGACAGATTCCCGCGCCAACGGCTATTTTATTTGATTTTGAATCCCATTTCATTTGATTTTGCCCGCGCCAACGGTTCAATCGGAAGCGCCAATTCTATCTCCGAAACCCAAATTGAGCAGCAGCAGGGCAAGTGAATACAACGTGGACAGTGTCTTCATTTGATTGTTTAAATGAAATAATTTACCTAAATCTGATTGGTTCAGCTTAAAATTAGGCTTAATGTAAAATGTGGTGATACCTAAATTAGCATTAATCATAAAAAGGAACTCCTTTTCTTTTTTCTTCTCAACTATTTTTCTTTCTCCTTTTTGTTTTGTTTTGTATTATTATTATTATTATTATTTTTTTTTTTGGGGTAAATTAGCATTGGGAAAAAACATGTGATTTTCTAAAAATCATATCATTCCTTTAAATCAAAATGTGCCAATATGATGACTGTTGTTGCTCATCTTTGGAAAGTCTCAATTCTTACTACATTCAATCCTAGAATTTTAGTCTACAACATCACCTGTCAATCTCTGCTATAATCTTCTAGCTGAAGAACAATGCCACAAACATTGTGAATGTGATTAACTAAAATGTCTTGAAAACTTGTCGATTAAACTTTTCCAATCCACTACTCAAGAAATTTCAGCCAATCTACAAAGGAAATGATTATTGATGACGAAAAGGATGAAAAAATGTTACAAGTTGCTGGCGGAATAGAAGGATATTGATCTTAGAAGCTTTGGCCTCTAAGCACTTTTAGTTGAATGTACGTCATTCTTATTCGAAAATCTCTCTCTCTCTCGGTTCAGATGCTGGATTTAAGGCACCCTTTTCTGTTTGAGATCGAACCTGCATGCCAAGGTCCTTCCAAGGTGTTCATAAAAGATTTTGAAACGAAAAATGAATAGCATGTAAACCAAATCTGTGATTCCCGTGAGCCTTTGTTATACTTTTAATTTTCATATTAGTTTGTAATTTAATTATTTTCTACAATGCATGTGCAGGTTAGGGTAAAGAATCTCAGGAATCAAGTACTCAAGGGTGGGGATTGTAAAGGAGAATCAGAGAAGCTGGTAAACTTCTTCTCTTGGATTTAATTACTATCTTGATTTTGCTGCTTGATTTTAATCTGCAATTATGTTTAAATACACTGCATCTCATATTCATTTTTCTTGTACAGCAAAATTTTACAGAGAAGGGCTATAGGAGTTCTCAATCTTCCAAGTGCATTGAAGCATGAAAGGATTTTTAATTGCCACAAATAATACAACCTATTGTCATTTTGGTGCAAGACTTTCCCGTTTGAAGTTGCAGATGACATGGATTAGGGTGATGGTCAATAAAAATCGTCATAAATTTAATTTAATAAATCTTGCTCTCAACTTTATGAATTTTTAAGCTTAGCCAAACATTAGATATACTGTGGATTAAGCAATTAACTGTCTTGCAGGCATATTTACGATATGTTTCCATTTTACTTTCTTTATGCTGTATCTTGCAGTATTAATTTGATTTACAGATGCAAACCAGAGGAGGAACTCACAAACTGAAAGTAAACCACTTGAGGAGAAGCTTAAACAATGATTTCACTCACTTTAAAGCAGAGTACAGATATTTATGGTTTAAACGGCACCTACCTAGCAGACACATCTATAGCAGAGTTCCAAGTCAGCTGCCCATATTATAAAGAGTAGAACCTAACAAGAATGACTGGACAAAAGTCCTGACTACTGATTGAAACTTGGACTGACTTTCCACATTAGCTGTTAAATACATATCTAACTATATTTATGCACGTTAACATACAAAACTTGTAAAAATTCACCAAATTGTTAAACAAATTTCATTGCCATTATAAAATCATCAATATGTCCAGATTACTTAGTATAACTACGTCAAAAAGCTACTCAGTAAGATTAATACTTTTCCGATTTACTGTGATTTAAATTTGAAAATTGCAACAGCATACCTTCAACGCAGGAAACTTGTACTATAAGTAAGAATGCAGAAAAATCCACCAGCCAATTCAGAGGAGGATAAAAGATGAAGTGGTTCACAAGGGCAGGAAAGAAAGAAAATTCCCTGCAACAAAATGCGGACAAGCCTTACTTCCCCGATCTTGATGCAACTCACAGTAAAGTAGAGAAATAAGAGTGGATCTGTGTAGTATGTACCAAAATGTTTTCATTTCATTCATTTTTTGTGCTAATACCATTCAGATGTCCAATCTGTACCAGAGTTCGCATTGCATGAAATTCAGCTAAGTAGGATCTGGCCTTCTCAAGCAATCTGCTTAGCAAAGCATCTCTCTTTACTGCCATATATTAAGTTGTTTCATTCATCCCAACAGTACCACCCCACCACGAGCACCAATTCTATCTCCGAAGTACTTAATCAGTCATACAAGTGCAGAAGAAACCTCTTACACAAGACATGGTATCGAGTCCCCCCTTCATATCAAAACCACTCTCTTCCCAAATTGAGCCACAGGGCTAGTGAATATAACATGGTCACAGTTTTCATTCGATTCAGAACTCTACTGCAAAGTAGATCGATATTCAGATAACATTTTTGCAGGCATGCTTTGGATGGGATAAGCTGAAGAGTCTGCCAAGCAAAAACCGTATTAAGGCCCCACTCATATCACAACCACTCTCTTCCCAAATTGAGCAGCAGGGCAAGTGAATACAACATGGACACTGTCTTCAGAACTTGGCTGCAAAGTGCATCGATATTCAGATGACATTTTTGCAGGAATGCTTTAGATGGGATTAGCTCAAGAACAGCCTGCCACGCAAAGATCTTTATCTATGGAGGCATATTACAGGCTCACGGGAATTCCACCAGCTAGCCAATCCATGGAAGGTGCTTTCAATGCCATTCTTTGGTAGAGACATAGGAAGTCTAAACCTAGATTATACTGAATAAATCCTATACCATTTAAAGTGCCATATAGGGACGCCATCTGCTAAAGGGACACCGCCTGGTAGTGACAGTATCAAAACAGAAACGGGTGGTAGAAACAGATTCATGATTAATTCCCTTCGCTAACAGCCATCATCTGTCATCAAATCAACCACGCTGAAAAGATTTTCACCCAAGCGGTACTGCTCATTTTACTCCAAGCTTCACTCACACCATCATAATATAGTTATGGGTGTGTAAGTTCTATAATTTTGTCCTACCTTTTAAATCAGTATGACAGTATAATGGGCTTCCAAGATATCTGACACTAAAACATTTAAGCCATTGTTGAGCCGTTTCTCATGAGTAACTCCCACACACAAGTCCAATATTTTAACTTCAAAAATAAACCCTATTCAAGCTCAGAAAATCTTGATTGATCAAGAGGATCAACTAAATGCAACTTGGGCTATAATTGAAGCTTAGATAGTCACTCAAGATGCATAAAGCAACAATTAATGCAGAGATGGCACCATCTGTGAATATAAGTCGAAGTTGATGGACATGTCAGCCTGACTAGTTGCAGGTGACTTCTTCAAGCCCCTTCTCTTCATCAAGTCTCGAACTCGACTGACCTGGCTCCATGCTCTGTTAGAAGCATATAAATTTGACATAAGCACATAGTGGCTTGCATCATGAGGACGGAACTCAAGCATTTTTTGCACTGCCACGTCCCCAAGATCGAACCTAGAGTGAATGCTGCATCCATGAAGAAAAGCACCAAAAACAGTAACGTCGGGCTGAATAGGCATTTTCTCAATAAAAACAAAGGCTTCCTCGAGCCAGCCAGAACGAGACAATAAATTGACCATACAAACATAATGCCTCATTGAAGGAACAATATTATATACCTTGCACATTGTATTAAAGTATCTCCACCCCTCTTTAATCATTCCGGTATGGCTACAAGCAGATAGGATGTTTGTGAAAATTACATCAGTTGGTTCTATGTTTTCCTTAAGCATATCACGGAAAAGGGCCAGGCCATTGTAAGCATCCCCTTGTGTTCCATAACCGCTAATCATTGCACTCCATGTAACCGTATTCTTCTCTACCATCCTGTCAAAAATACCGCGAGCAGACTCAGCATCACCACATTTAGCATATAAATTTAGAAGTGCTGTACCAACATAGACATTCTTGTCTGACAAAAACCCTTCTTTGTTAGAGTAGGCATGAAGAGAAGAACCAAATCTGATATTCCCAAGGAAAGCACAAGCTGAAAGGACAGCCACCACTGTTACGCAATCAGGTTGGATGAAATCCGATCTCATTCGATAGTACAATTTCAGCGCCTCATAAGCAGATCCACTTTGAGAATACCCACAAATTATTGAGTTCCAAGCAATCACATCCTTATCTGAAATATTCTCAAACAAATAATTTGCATCTCCTGTTCTGCAATGCTTTGCATACATGTCCACTAGAGCATTGGTCACATTAGCATCATCCAATCCAAGCTTAATAGCTTGGCTATGAACTGACGCACCCAACTTCAGATTGGGTGATTGTGCACAAGCTGAGAGAACGCTCGCCAAGGTAACTGAATTTGGCATAACACCTTGCCATGTCTTGTCTGTAAACAACAGTAATGCCTCTTCTGCATAGCCATTCTGGGCATAACCAACGATCATGGCAGTCCATGAAACAAGATCAATACTGGAGAGCTCATTAAAAATCAAACGGGCATCTCTAATAGCACTACACTTCACATACATATCCACGAGAGCAGTAACTAAGTATGAGTTCAACTCAATCCCTTTCTTGATCACATACCCATGCACCCACTTCCCCTGATGCAAAGCCCCTAACTTTGCACATGCTGTCACTACACTCCCGAAAGTGTACTCATTTCCTTCGACCAAGCCATCTCTCATCCGGTTAAACAAAACTAACCCTTCTTGAGCACAACCATTCTGAACATACCCAACAATCATCGATGTCCAACAAACTACGTTTCTATTCAAAATCCTGTCAAAAACTTTGCGAGCAGTTTCAGTATCACGGCACTTGGCATACATATCAACAAGGCCAGTCAATACAAAACTATCAGGTCTCCCTACCTTAAGTATATAACCATGCAATTTCATCCCTTCACTAAAACTCCTCAACTCACTACATGCCTTCAACACAATAGAAAACACAATGTTATCCAGTACAATAAAAGTCCTCCTCATAAACTCATAAAACCCAATAATCTCATCAAACAAATCATTCATAAAGTACCATCTAATCATCAATTTATGAGAATCAAAATCTGGGTCCGGAATTTCATCGAACATTAGACGGGCAATTTTGACGCGCCCAAATAAACCATACAAACTAATTAATTTGGTTCTCAAGAAAGGGTCGTCAGATTGACCATCAATAATTAAAAGGGCGTGGATTTTTTGGAGAGAAGATAGGGTCTTGCAAAGATTTAAAAGGTGGAAAAAGGGGTTTGATTGAATTGAGTGGATTGAATCAAGTGTTGATTCAATATGATTGGAATTCGGTACTGAAGTTAAGGTTCTGGATTCATAAATGGTTCTTGAAATTGCGAAACGGGGGGTGTTTCTGTGCAGTAATGAGATGAGCTTCACTACTTTGTTCATTTTACATCTCATTTGTATTAGTTTTTGCTTTTGTTGGGTTCAATGACTCCCGCCATTTTTACAGTTCGTTTACCTAACAGGGGAAATTACGAGCAATATTGGTAGACAAGAGCGGCAATGGACTGACCCAACTTTGAGTTCGATTCTATTCAACATGGTGGTTGGGCTCCTCATGTTGGTTAGCAGGCCATTTTTCTATATTTCCTATTTTTTCATAATTAATATTTATTTCTTTTTTTAAGAGGTGAATAATATTTATTTCATATCTTATCAAATCTACTAAAAATAATAACTTAGCTGTGCTAGTAGAGATTTTTTGAAAATAGATTATGAAAAATGATTTATTTAAAAATTTTAATATTAAAAAAGTAAAGAAAAGTTACGAATTTTCGTGCAAAATTATTTTATTGAAAGAATGTGATTAAAAATGAGTTCGATAAAAAAAAAAGTTTTAAGAAATAAGGGCGAAATAGAGGATTAATGAAATTAGGACAGCATAATTAGAGTTTGTTGGAGATCTATTTTTATTTTTTATATAAGTTTTGAAATAGTGATTTTTTAGAGAATTTGTGGTTAAAAAATGAAGAATAGTTTTATGTATACATATAAAATTATTTTATTAAAAAAAATGTGTGACTAAGAATGAGTTTGAGAAACAAAATAGACTTTTAGCAGATGTTGATAAAAATTGATAAAATATGTGGTTATAATATTAATAAAAATTGTGAGTTCTATAAAATGTCTAATTAAAATTATTGATTTTGATTTAAAATTTTATCAACTTTTAAAGTTAAACCAAACGGGAGCTTACACCAGACACGTTATTTGTAATTTCTATTATATATTTTTATATAATATATCGTGTGATATATCTTTATTAATTTATATTTAAAATTTTTTTGGGGGGGGGGGGTGCACGGCCTTA